GGTACCGGGGGGTAGCGGGGGGTGGTACTGGGGGCACCGGGGATGGCACCGGGGAGCGGGGTGCACTGCTGCCGTGCCAGTCGGGTGGCACGGGGGTGGCACCGGTGCGGTGCCCACCCGGTGGCGTTTGGGAGGCGAGGGTGGCAGAGTCAGGGGGGCACCATTGTGCCCACTTGGTGGCATTTGGGTGGCACTTGGGGGCCTGATGGTGGCAGAGACGGGGGCACCACTCTGGTGCCATCTGGGTGGCACCTGGGTGCCATCTGGGTGCCATCTGGGTGGCATTCGGCGGTGGCAGGGCCGGGACGCCCGCGGTGCCCGCCGGGTGCCAGTCAGGCTGATCGGGAGGAGCTGGGAGTGGCAGAGCCGCTCCCTGTGGTGCCCTCGGGTGGCACCGGGGGGGTGCTGTGGGGCAGGGGGACACTGCCCCGGTGCCCATCAGGTGCCACCTGGGTGGCATTTGGGTGGCATTTGGGGGGACTGTGGGTGACACAGTGCGGGGACACCTCCATGGTGCCCACCAGGTGCCACCTGGGGCTGGCACAGTGCGGGGACACTGCCGTGGTGCCCACCAGGTGCCACCTGGGGTACTGGGGGTGGCACAGTGCGGGGACACTGCCCCGGTGCCCATCAGGTGCCACCTGGGTGGCATTTGGGTGGCACCTGGGGGTACTGGGGGTGGCACAGTGCAGGGACACTGCCCCGGTGCCCATCAGGTGCCACCTGGGGCTGGCACAGTGCAGGGACACTGCCGTGGTGCCCCCCAGGTGCCCTCTGGGTGGCATTTGGGGGGATTGGAGCTGGCAGCAGGCGGGAGGACACTTCGATGGTGCCCACCGGGTGCCACCCGAGGTGACCGGGCCTGGCACGGCGCGGCTCACCTCCGCGGCGCCCACCGGCCGCCATCTGGGCATCGTCCAGAGGAGCCGGAGCTGGCACAGCCGCCGCCTCCTCGGTGCCCACCGCGCCGCCGACCCGTGCCCGCCGTGTGCCCGCAGGCGTCGCCGTCGCTGACCCCGGTGCGCCAGCCCGGCTTCTGCGCCTTCTACGGCGAGTGCGGGCACAACCCCGAGGTCAACGTGTCGCTGGTGCCCTCCAAGGTGCCCTGCGTGTCCAACACGCCGGCGCGGGTGGCATCGGGCGCGCTGCTGGCGCTGCTGCGCTCGGTGTGCCCGGAGCTGGCGCAGGGGCACAACGGGAGCGCGCGGGTGTGCTGCAGCCTGGCACAGCTCAGCGCGCTGCGCCTCAGCGTCGGGCTGTCGGGCGCCGTGCTGGCACGGTGCCCGGCCTGCGCCCGCAACTTCGCCAACCTCTACTGCCACAACATCTGCAGCCCCGACCAGAGCCTCTTCACCAACGTCACCCGCGCGGGCACCTACGCGGCGGTGCCCGGTGCCCGCGCCGTGCTGGAGTACCAGCTCTTCTACCGGCGCCGCTACGCCGAGGCCGCCTTCGCCTCGTGCCAGGGCGTGCGGCTGCCCGCCACGGGCGGCTATGCCATCTCCACCATGTGCGGGCGCTACGGTGCCCAGCTGTGCACGGCCCAGCGCTGGCTGGACTTCCAGGGCGACAAGAACAACGGCTTGGCACCGCTGCAGATCCGCTTCCAGCTGGTGCCCGACGGCGCCCAGCCCGGCGAGGGCATCGCCCCGCTGGACGCGCCCGCCTGGCGCTGCGACCAAGCGCCCGGCGAGGGGCAGGAGCCGTGCTCGTGCCAGGACTGCGCCCAGGCCTGCCCGCCCGTGGTGCCACCCTCGGCGCCGCCGCCGCCCTTCCGCGCGGGCAGCGCCGACGGGGCGCTGCTGCTGGGCGCCCTGCTCTTCGCCGGCCTGGCCCTGGCATTCCTGGTGGCAGCGCTGCGCCGCCGGGGCACCGGCCGGGCCGCGCTGAAGCCGGGCGGGCACCGGCGGCGGGTGGGCGAGGGTTGGCAGCGCGGCCTGGAGCGGGCGTTCCGCCGCTGGGGCGCGGCGGTGGCGGCGCGGCCGGTGCCCGTGCTGGCGCTGGCACTGCTGGCGGCCGGCGGGCTCTCGGCGGGGCTGGCACGGCTGCGCCTCACCACGGACCCGGTGGAGCTGTGGTCGGCGCCTGGCAGCCGTGCCAGGCAGGAGAAGGAGTTCCACGACCGCCACTTCGGGCCCTTCCTGCGCACCAACCAGCTGATCGTGACGGCGCCCGGCCGCCCTGGCACCGTCTACGACTCGGTGCTGCTGGGCACCAAGAACTTCAGCGGGGTGCTGGCACCCGACGTGCTGCGGGCGCTGCTGGAGCTGCAGGAGGAGCTGGCGGGCACGGCGGCCTGGGCGCCGGGCGCGGGCAGGAACGTGACGCTGCGCGACGTCTGCTATGCCCCGCTGAACCCTGGCACGCCGGGCACGGGCGACTGCGCCGTGTCCAGCGTCACGCAGTACTTCCAGAACAACCGCAGCCGCCTGGCACTGCGCGCCTGGCAGCACGACGGCAAGCCGCCGGGCACCGTGGACTGGCACGACCACCTCATCTACTGCGTCAAGTGGGTGCCGTGGGTTGGGGGCTGTGGTGGGGCACGGTGCCCGCCTGCGGGGCGGGGGCATGGGCAAGGGGTGCTGGATATGGCACGGTGCCCGTGGGGTGCCCGGTGTGGAGCCACCTGCATGTCCCCCATCACTGTGGAGTGCCAGGCCGTGTCCGTGGGGTGCCAGGCCGTGTCCGTGGGGTGCCAGGCCGTGTCCGTGGGGTGCCAGGCCGTGTCCATGTGATGCCAGGCCGTGTCCGTGTCCGTGGGGTGCCAGGCCATGTCCATGGGGTGCCAGGTTGTGTCCCTGGGGTGCCAGGCCGTGTCCGTGGGGTGCCAGCTGTGTCCATGTGATGCCAGGCCGTGTCCGTGTCCGTGGGATGCCAGGCCATGTCCATGGGGTGCCAGGCCGTGTCCATGGGGTGCCAGGTTGTGTCCGTGGGGTGCCAGGCTGTGTCCGTGGGGTGCCGGCCATGTCCGTGGGATGCCAGGTTGTGTCCGTGGGGTGCCAGGTTGTGTCCGTGGGATGCCAGGCCGTGTCTGTGGGGTGCCAGGTTGTGTCCGTGGGATGCCAGGCCGTGTCTGTGGGGTGCTAGGCCATATCCATGGGGTGCCAGGTTGTGTCCGTGGGGTGCCAGGCCGTGTCCGTGGGGTGTCGGCCGTGTCCGTGGGGTGCCAGCTGTGTCTGTAGGGTGCCAGGCCGTGTCCGTGGGGTGTCGGCCGTTTCCGTGTGATGCCAGGCCGTGTCCGTGGGATGCCAGGCCATGTCCGTAGGGTGCCAGGCCATGTCCATGGGGTGCCAGGCCGTGTCCATGTGATGCCAGGCCGTGTCCGTGGGGCGCCGCGGTGCCCGGCGGGCACGGCCGCTGATGCCCGCGGCGCTGTGCCCGCAGCTCGCCGCTGTCGTTCAAGGACATCACGGCGCTGGAGCTGAGCTGCATGGCCGAGTACGGCGGGCCCGTGTTCCCCTACATCGCCCTGGGCGGCTACCCTGGTACGGGCACCGCGGGCACCGCGCGGGCACCAGCAGGCACCGCGGTGTCACCCCATGGCCCCGCAGAACGGGCACCGCGGGCACCGCGCGGGCAGTGCTGGGCACCGCGGCGTCACCCCATGTCACCGCCATGGCCCCGCAGTGTCCCCTGACTGTCCCCCCCTGTCCCCCTGTCCCCCTGTCCCTCTGTCCCCTGTCCCCCTGTCCCTCTGTCCCTCTGTCCCGCTGTCCCCTGTCCCCTGACTGTCCCC